TTCTGCTTTGCTGAAGAGGCGCTGCACAGCTCTCCCTCTCTGCTGAAGCCAGGAGAGTCTTCCTCTCCCGGCTTCAGCAAAAGGAACCCGAAGCCTGCGGAGCACAGCGTGAGTTCCCGCTGCGCTCCAAAGGCTTCAGGCGGTTATCCCTAAAGGCTGGAGAGCAAGAGGGGTCGGTGCGCACCGACCCCTCTCGCTTTCCAGGCTTCAGCGAAAGCAACGTGAAGCCTCCGGAGCGCAGAGGGAGCGCTCCCTCTGCGCTTTGGAGGCTTCGCGTTGCTTTAAAAGAGGATTGGATAAACTCATGGAGGAGAAGACTATCAATGGCTCTGCTCTGCTTCCACAGCAATGCTCCTGAATACCACTTTCTGGAGACCACAGGAAGGGAGAGTGCCTTTGAGCTCTGGCCCTGCTTTCTGGTGTCCCATAACCAGTGCTTTTGTCTGGGGGGACGCAGGGGGAAGCATACCCCTAAACATTTTGTAAATTTTTGTACTTTTGTTCATTTACTGTACAGTGGATGCTTGGGCTGCAAACGTGGTCCGTGTGGGAGGCGCGTTCGCAACCCACAGAGCTGCATCTGTGCACGCGCGGGTTGCGATGCGGTGCTTCTGCACGTGCACAAAGCGCGATTTAGCACTTCTGTGCATGCGCGACCGCCAAAACCCGGAAGTAACCCATTCCGGTACTTCCGGGTTTTGGCGCATCCATAACCTGAAAAAACGCAACCTGAAGCATCTGTAACCCGAGGTATGACTGTATTTATTTTTCCCTATTTGAATTATAAAATGGTGATTTTCTTGAGTCAAAATTAAAGTACCCCAAACATTTTTTTAGGGGGGGGGAGCACAGGCCATAACCATCTGGCTGGTCACTGTGAGACCTGATGAACCACCCAGTGTGATGACACCAGGACACAAGGTGTTTTGTGCTAAATGTTACTAAGGACTCTGTATGCAGGTGTGTAGTGTTGTTTATAAATTCTAGTTCTGTCCCAATCCAACCATTATTGAGCTGAGTCACCATACAGTGATCTTCCTAGACAAATGTTGTAAAATGATCTTGTGAAAGTTCCTCCGAGAAGATAACACTGCAGGTTTCTGCATCCTGAAGAACTGGTTTTTTAGTATGATTTCAGGATGCAGTTCTTGGGTATTTTGTCCTGGGGAAACTCTTTCACATGGCAGTGATCCTGAGGGTAAAATTAACTGCAGTTCTTTCACCTTAATAATAGCTATATGAATTGATGCGAAGAATCCACTCATACGCCATCAGAAATCTGCACCAATGATACATTTGATGTGCTCAAGCCACAAGAAGGTATCCTTTGCAACTCAGAGAGAAGAGCAGCTGGATTTTAGGCCAACAGCTGGGAAGAACAGGGCCAACAACCTCTTGAAGATACCTTCTAAACTGCATTCAATTTCTTGCAAATTCAAAGGGCAGCAAGGTTTAGAGTAAAGCTGCTCCTTTTCCTTTCCTTCCTGATCTTTCAGACAGACAGAACCAGTGTGCACAAGCAAAAGTTGTAACACTTTGCTTCCCAAAGTGTGTGTTTTAGGCTGCAAATGTAGGGACACTAGGCGTGATCAGCGAGCAGGCAAGCAAAACCTAAAAGTTCTCTTTCTCTTTCTCTTTCTCTTTCTCTCTCTTTCTCTTTCTCTTTCTCTTTCTCTTTCTCTTTCTCTTTCTCTTTCTCTCTCTCCACCCCTCCTTTCCTTCACCCCGAGCTTTGCAAGCATTAGCTGATGGAAAGTGCTTGGTCATTCCTTCCTTTTCTTCAGATCAGGGGCGAGGAACCTTTTATGGCTGGCGGACCAGATCCTTATCTCCCCACCCCAGGAGGGCCAAGCTTGACAGGTGGGTAGCACCCACCTGTCAAATCCCTTGATGTCCTGGTGGCATCAAGTGATGCTGCACTTTGACGCTCCAGCAGTTGGGACTTCAAAGTGTAGTGCATGGCTGTTTGAATGCCTTTTTCCAAACAGCCCCGTGCTGTTCTTTAAGCCTCCAGCTGGTGAGCAAAGAGTGCAGTTCTGCTGACCGCTTTGCACAGGTGAAGGAAGATTCCACCAGGTTTGAACCCCTCCCTCCCGTGCATCATCTGATGTCCCCCTGGTGGACAGGTGTGCATGGCTTGAGGAAAATGGCCTCATGGGTCAGTTTGGACCCCCTGGCAGGCAAAGATTGGGTGGAAACTGGAAATTGCCCATCCCTGGTTTAAGTCAAGGCCAGTGCTGTTAGAATGGTACTGTCATCAAGTGAAAGAGAAAGCTAAAATAATCCACACTATTCATTTGTCAGTCTACATATGACCTCACATAGCTGCACGCTGCAGACTCGAGCAACAGCTGGTAAATCTAGACTTGTACAATTAAAGTGGATTAAAGTGCTCTGTCGCCCTAAGGTGTTGCAATGACACCTTTTAAAAACATCCTTTAAAAAAAGACTTTGGGCTGTTATGGAAGTAGCAGGGAAATTCACCCGAGAGTGCTGAATGATGAGCAGGAAATTATAAACGCCCCACAAGCAAATCAATGTGAGTACAGAGTGGACGTTCATTGTTGCAGAATCACAGAAGGTGGAATTGATTTTGAAGGGAAGGCCTTTTTAAAAAGAAAAATACTAATTGAGGAACAGTGCCATAAACTCACAGGAAGACAAATAAAGGGGGGGGGGAGGCACAGCCTGCTGAAGAAGTACAGCCAGACACCCTCCCCATCTTAAAGCTGGCAACCAGAGTTAAGTTGATCCTGTTCAGTCCATGGGGAGGGAGCGTTCAGCCATTGATTTCTTCACCTGCCACAGTCAAAGCCCTCAATGGCCACGGCTGACTGTGTTAATGCAAATGAAATCTACGCATTTCCATCCAGGACTGTGTCAGCCGCAGATGACACAGAAATGACCTGTCAAATATAGCTATTAAGGGCTTATGGAAAGTGCTCTGCCAATGCCCGCTAGGCTGCTGCTTTGAAAAGAAGGAACGAGGAAAGCTACACAGCCGTGCCTTCCTGGTATATGTTCAGCAGATTGGAGGTGCGGGGAGGGTCATGGGGAATTATGCTGCCAGTGTAAAGAACCCGGGAGCTTATAAACATCTGAGAATAAAACTGATTTTAATCAAAGAACTACCAATTAAAATGCAGTGCCCAGATCCATGATCTGGAAAGCAATGCACATTTAACTACATCCTCTACAGTCATACCTCATGTTACATTTGCTTCATGTTATGTTCTTTCAGGTTACGTCCCGCGGTGACCCAAAAGTACCGGAAAGGGTTACTTCTGGGTTTCACTGCTCGCGCATGCGCAGCAGCGCTAAATCGCTCTTCGAGCATGCGCACAAGCGCCAAATCACGGCGCACACCTGCGCAGATACGGCGCTTCAGGTTGCGCTCTTTTCATGTTGCGAACAGGCCTCCGGAACAGATCCCGTTCACAACCAGAGGTACCACTGTATTCCTGAAGAATATGCCAGCAAACAATATGGGCTGCTTTGCATATTACACGGAGGAAAAGCTGTGTGGCCACAGAGAGCCTGTCTTAGAATCTTGGGCTAGTCTTAGTTTCCTGGCCACCAAGTCTATGTAGCACATATTTGCTACCTTCAGATAGGACAATACAATACAATACAATACAATACAATACAATACAATACAAATACCTTTACTGGCATTACAAGTTAAGACATTTCAGATCCCTGGGATAAATTTTAAAGGGACAGGAGTGAGGCTGTCGGGTCACAAGGACATGTTTACACCGAACAAATATCTAAAAGCTTTTGAACATACTTTGAACTACTGTCAAAAGAACTGCCCACTGCCCAACTGGCAGCTTTGGGGAAATGTGGAAATACTCCGGTCTTGGAAATTAAAAATGTTCATCTGTGTTACAGCACAAACTGGAAAAACTAGGTACCTCTCAGGAATAATATGTCAAGAGGAGAGGTTGCAATGATTAGGTTCATATGGGTTGAACAGGGAGGAGGCATAGGGTAAATTCCCCAGCTAAAATATCACCTATGTTATCAACCTGCTAGGTGGCTTCAGTGTCAAACTAGGTGTGACGGTGAAGCTCTGTGTTATCGCACTCACCAGCATTACATGTGGTTTGTGGATTTAGACATCCTGCCTTGTTTTACTGATGACCCCAAAGACTTGTGAAGCGGTCTTTTACAAATTATTGCAGAAAGGAGCGTAAGCTTTCCAGTCTGGTACACTAAGGCAAGTTAAGTCATTTCATTTCCAAGGCAAATGATTTCCAAAGGTACCTAAAGCTGACAGTTGTTACAGTGCAGAGACATCTGCGTCCTCCTAAGGCTCTGCTGGTGTGGGATCCTGCAGAAAGATGCCATTCAAATTGGATCCAGGCCAGTTTCTAACCTTTCTACCACGCATCTGTACTCATACAAGTGGCAAGATGATTCAGAGAGCCAATACAGATGAAAAGGATGCTGGGATGAGCTACCTTAGCCCAACATACTGTGGTCACCTGTACCATTCTGCTAAGTGGTGTATCAGGAGCAGCTTGGTGGAATCCAGGCAACCAACTTAGAAGAAGAAGAGGAAGAGTTTGGATTTGATATCCCGCTTTATCACTACCCAAAGGAGTCTCAAAGCGGCTAGCATTCTCCTTTCCCTTCCTCCCCCACAACAAACACTCTGTGAGGTGAGTGGGGCTGAGAGACTTCAGAGAAGTGTGACTAGCCCAAGGTCACCCAGCAGCTGCATGTGGAGGAGCGGGGAAGCGAACCCGATTCACCAGATTACGAGTCCACCGCTCTTAACCACTACACCACACTGGCTCTTAATGTTTAGTTAGTTAGTTAGTTACACACACACACACACACACACACACACACACACAGGCAAATCCACCTGCTGGCTGAGTCACAGGAGAATCACAGAATTGGAAGAGACCCTGAGGATCGATCACTCCATTTCCCTGCGATTCAGAGGAGGGAAGATTTTTGCCATGTCTTTGGACCGTGGTTTTACATACCTCACTTTGACAAGCCGTGAGCCTCTATATTTATGCCTTAAAATGGAATTGTGAAATGTCTCGTACATCTGTTGGGAGAAAGCAAAAGTGTTCTTTTAGCAAAGAGAACTTAGGGTCGTCCGAGGAACACCTGCTCATACTAGATCTGCAGAGCCACATTGCAGAGATATCCTCCGCATAGCTGCCAACTTACAGATTTGAAAACAAGGGACCAGCAGCCTCGAAAATAAGGGACCAGCAGCCAAAATAAGGAATTTTCCAAGCACAGGTATGTTCAACTTCTGAGCCCCTCCGAGCCAACGGTAGAAAGCCCAGCCAGCAGCCAAACGAAGCCTTAAGCAGTGGTTCCCACAGCGCAGCAACCCGGCAAAGGGGATGCAGCAAGGAAAACCACCATCACCTCTCCGCTGGGAAGCGCTGAGCAAAGGCGAGCCCCCAGGCAACGAGGCCGATTTGATCGGCACAAGGCATGCAAGCTCCACCCCCCAGTCGTTCTTAGACTCCTTATTGGGTGAGCAACGCAGCCAAGCAACACATTTGGAGCCTCCCTGGCTGGCAGGGAGGGAGGGAGAGGAGCTGCTTCCTTTGAAACCCGGGAAATTTAAGGGACATCATCAATAAGGGACAGCAGCGGGACACAGCGCTGGGATAAGGGACTTTCCCGCCAAATAAGGGACGGTTGACAGCTATGATCCTCCGTAATGCAGAAAGAGCCATTTTCGTTCAGCTGAATCATACCTGCCCCTGGCTCCAGTTCAGCTGCAGTGGCACAAAGCAAGAGCTTGCGTCACGAACAGCTGCCTAGCTTGTCTTCATTTGTTTCTCAGAACCCCAAGCACTATTAAGAAGTCATTTTAGGAAGGCTACATTTCTCACGTGATTTAAGTATTTAAACCGTGCAACCCTATGCATGCCTACTCAGAAGTCGTGAATTGGACGGAGCTTTCTCCCATTGCGAGCCTGTAGCCTTGCAACTGGGCTGAGAATTCCTGAATTAGATGGGTTGAAAAGGAGTGGAAAAAAATGGATTGTCCACTGCTTCCAGAGTAGTGCCATCTCGCAGTGACCCGGCTGGGAGGTGGGGGAATAAAACTTATTTCTCCCCGCCCCCAGCAGATTTCTATTTTGTAAAATCAATTTGGGTGGGGTATAGTTGATGCTAGTATAGCTGATGAGCCTGATCCTGGGGATTTACAGAAGAATGAAGGGGTTTTAGGTTGTCTCTGCTCCATCCCCAGAACGCCCCGTTTCAGGGCTGACTGGTTGCTGTCGACAAAAATACTATTAATGCTAAATTGGTGCTGTCAGGGGTGCCTCAGGTCCCACCTCACAAAGGACCAACGCCAGTGTCTCTTTATATACAAAAGTCTTTATTGAAGTTCATTGTTGGTTTTACAGCCGCGGTGCGCAGCCCTACGTCTGTAACTCTAGACCGTCGAAGCTCCATCTGAATCTCCTCCCCATGTACACCAGTTCAATACCCTCGCCTTGCTCCACCTCCTCCTCTGTTCCTTTCTCCTCTGGGCCCTCCTGCCCGCCGAGGTCTCACCCTTCCTCGACTCTTCGGACGCGGATTCCTCTGACTCCTCCCCCTTTCTCCGGCGGGCTTTGGGACCTGGTTCCCAATCCGGATTTTCTGCTGTCCCGCGCGCCTGCACATTTGAACTTGGCGCGCGCACCCAGCTGGCCACTTTCCTCCTAACGGCTACACTGCTCCTGTCACTGCTTCCTCCTTCGGGGGGGCTGGCTGGAACTGACCTCCCCTCCGCTCCTCCACTCCCCGACGGAGGCGTGGTCAGTCCTGACTCACTCTCCCTCCCCGCTGGTCCTGATCTGTGGGCTTCTTCCCCCCCGCTACGCTCTGGTGGGGAAGTTGGCCCTGATCTCCCGCTGCCGCTTTGAGCCTCTCCGCTGGCCCCCCTTGCCCTGACCCTGGGCGCCTCCTTCTGGGAATCTTCTGATTCGCTGGAGAGGCTCATGGAATCTCCCTGGTCACTCTCATACCCTCCTATGCTTCCCTCAGATCCTTCCTCTTCGCTCTCCATCTCCTCTTTCCCCTGTGGCTCTCTCCCTGAGCCCCTGACAGGTGCCCATAGAACTTTTCACAGGTATAGCAAGGGCCTCTCTGAAATATGCATCCCATGCTGATGAAGATCTTCTCTTCCTGCAGAAAGGCATCTCCACCCCATCCTAGCCCTTTCCAGCCAGCAAATGTGAGGGTTAAGATTGCTCTGTAAATCACTCACTAGCCTCAAAGCCATGGGTAGGCAAACTAAGGCCTGGGGGCCGGATCTGGCCCAATCGCCTTCTAAATCTGGCCCACGGACAGTCCGGGAATCAGCGTGTTTTTACATGAGTAGAATGTGTCCTTTCATTTAAAATGCATCTCTGGGTTATTTGTGGGGCATAGGAATTCGTTCTTTTTCTTCTTCTTCAAAATATAGTCTGGCTCCCCTCAAGGTCATGTCAGACTAACCTGATCTCGTTTTTTGACAGAATTACAAGCCATGTCTCAATATAGTCATGTCAGACTAACCTGATCTCGTTTTTTGACAGAATTACAAGCCTGGTAGATGAAGGGAACGCAGTGGATGTAGTCTACCTTGATTTCAGCAAGGCATTTGACAAGGTGCCCCATGATATTCTTGTAAAGAAGCTGGTAAAATGCGGTCTTGACTATGCTACCACTCAGTGGATTTGTAACTGGCTGACTGACCGAACCCAAAGGGTGCTCATCAATTGTTCCTCTTCATCCTGGAGAAGAGTGACTAGTGGGGTGCCACAGGGTTCTGTCTTGGGCCCGGTCTTATTCAACATCTTTATCAACGATTTGGATGATGGACTCAAGGGCATCCTGATCAAATTTGCAGATGACACCAAACTGGGAGGGGTGGCTAACACCCCAGAGGACAGGATCACACTTCAAAACGACCTTGACAGATTAGAGAACTGGGCCAAAACAAACAAGATGAATTTTAACAGGGAGAAATGTAAAGTATTGCACTTGGGCAAAAAAAATGAGAGGCACAAATACAAGATGGGTGACACCTGGCTTGAGAGCAGTACATGTGAAAAGGATCTAGGAGTCTTGGTTGACCACAAACTTGACATGAGCCAACAGTGTGACGCGGCAGCTAAAAAAGCCAATGCAATTCTGGGCCTCATCAATAGGAGTATAGCATCTAGATCAAGGGAAGTAATAGTGCCACTGTATTCTGCTCTGGTCAGACCTCACCTGGAGTACTGTGTCCAGTTCTGGGCACCACAGTTCAAGAAGGACACTGACAAACTGGAACGTGTCCAGAGGAGGGCAACCAAAATGGTCAAAGGCCTGGAAATGATGCCTTATGAGGAACGGCTAAGGGAGCTGGGCATGTTTAGCCTGGAGAAGAGGAGGTTAAGGGGTGATATGATAGCCATGTTCAAATATATAAAAGGATGTCACATAGAGGAGGGAGAAAGGCTGTTTTCTGCTGCTCCAGAGAAGCGGACACGGAGCAATGGATCCAAACTACAAGAAAGAAGATTCCACCTAAACATTAGGAAGAACTTCCTGACAGTAAGAGCTGTTCGACAGTGGAATTTGCTGCCAAGGAGTGTGGTGGAGTCTCCTTCTTTGGAGGTCTTTAAGCAGAGGCTTGACAACCATATGTCAGGAGTGCTCTGATGGTGTTTCCTGCTTGGCAGGGGGTTGGACTCGATGGCCCTTGTGGTCTCTTCCAACTCTATGATTCTATGATTCTATGATTCTATTCTAAGGTCTGAGGGACAGTGGACTGGCCCCCTGCTGAATAAGTTTGCTGACCTCTGCACAAAGCTATCCATCTCAGACAGCGTTTGAGCCCAGTTCTCCAGAATTGAAATTCTCTTTGCTGGACTGGAATGTCTTCTTGTGTAATCTGTGTCCAAAAAGTCTTTTGCAAATGTTCTACCGCTTCCTAAGAATGCATTTTCATTCGTAGCATCTTGCCATTTGTTTTCTAACCATAAGAACAAGCCTGCCCGTATTTTAGACATGTCCAGTTTTATTTGTCTTTTATTCTGTTAACTTGCTTTGCAACTTCTGTATAAAGTGATTTAACAAATGCAAATAACAACAACCAATTCATACTATCTGTAAATTTAGTGGACTTGAATTACAAAACTCTTCAAACACTTTATAACTGAAAGGTAGCCTTACGTCCCCTATGAAAATAAAAATATTTCCTGCGTGGTTTTATTACTTTTTAATGACTTGTTATATTTACCCTTCTTTATAGGAGTTCAAGGTAGTGTGCATGTAGGCTTACTCCATTTTGTTGTACAAAGTTTGTGTATTAATTATCATGAGACGGTTAAAGCAAAATTTAATATCAAGGGAAGACTTAAGAGCACAATCCTACGCGTGTTCACTTGGAAGCAAGTTCTACCATAAGTTCAGTGGAACTTATGTTCTAGAGAGAATACAACCTTAATGTTAAATCTGCTTTTTTTAATGACTGCCAAGTCTTTTGACCATGGGCGTAGCCAGGATTTATCTTGAGGGTGGTGGTGCAGAACTTCAGTTAGTTAATTATTTTTATTGATTTACTTGATGGGGGGCAGCTGCTTTTGACAAAGATTCAGTTTCCTCCTCCCACTGCAAATTCCCAGGATGTCCTGGTCTGCAGAAAGGAGATAATAGCGCTTCCCTACTCAACAGTGTGCTGCAAGACTCCTGACAGTGAGGCAATGCAGTTTCTGGTACAGAAATGTTATTGCTGTTACTATGGTTTAATGGACACCTGAACAGCGGCTCAAGGCTTTGGAATGTTAGATGGAGACACGACTTGCTTGGTAGCTGAGATGCTGAGATAAATTGCTGGTGACTAATCCCAGGTGTCTTCTCGATGTATTCTTATCACATACCACAGCAGTTCATCATCTCGGTTTCATCTCAAATTGCACAGCATCCCTATCAACATAGGGATCATCCACACTCATTTTCCTCCGGACTTTCTAGGCACAGGTTTGCACTTTTCCAGTCTTTGCCCGAGTACTATTTTATTTTATTTGCCCCTCCACTTTCCCTGTGAAAATCCCACTAGCA